TGTGTTGTGTTGTGTGTGTGTGTGTGTGTGTGTGTGTGTGTGTGTGTGTGTGTGTGTGTGTGTGTGTGTGTGTGTATGTATATGTATATACCAACATACATATATACATCCCTATTTAAATACATACATATTTATAACATACTCTAGTAGCCCAAAATCCGGGGCAAAGTCCGAGGCCGCTTTTCTTCGGACCGCATACGACATAATCAGACACTCAATTAGCGCATTTATAGGGCGCGAGAAAAACAGTACTGACACCATCGGAAGCCCTGGTAGGTAATTACAAGTTGGTATTTACGATTAATAATTGAGCAACGACGTACTTGAAACATACGCAATCGTGCATATGTTTGTGGGACGATAGTTAGATCATTCTGTACTAAACCCGGGACATGCCAAGGGTTTGGCGCAAGGGCTATGTCCTAGCATAGCGTAAGCGTAAGCAAACATTAACGTATGTGGCGTTAAAGCAGGATCGTGAAAACTAAACGTGATGCAAAATATATAGGTCCAAGTCTTCGGATGGAAATGTCTACAGTGGTCTATAGCGATAATGACTTCGCGCATCCCGATACTACAATGTGTTCTGAGCCCAGATCCGGATTATGTATAATTATAAATATGAATTATTGTACATGCCTACCAATGTATTGTGCATGTCTATATTTATATAACTAGATTTTCGAGTATGATTCTTTTATGAATAGGCACAAACATATTCGGGCATATCTATATTCATATAACTATATTTTCAAGTATGATTTTGTTATGAATAGGCTATCGTCAACAAAGATAGCTACGCCCCGGAGGTAAAATATCGAGATTTTTATATATACTCTCTAGAATCGGACTTCCCGAATGAGTATACATATGTAACTGTGCAAACAAAAGATGCATGGTGGACATAAACTTGAGATTTGGTTTCTGATCACTTCCACACTCGTACAAACCCGAATCTGAGGCGAGATCCTATACAGCAGCACTCTAGTAGAAATCTCGAAATTCGAGGAATATCTATAAGAAGTATAGATCAATACAAATGGATCGGATCAACACATTATATGACTCGAGTTAAACGGTTGCAAGGGGACTACTACAGCAATCGCTGCGTATATACACAACGGCACCGTCAAAGCAGCAAGACAACAAGTGTCGGAAGCAGTAGAGACACAGAGAAGACTTTCCTCTAGCAATGTAGTATTATTACAGACATACCATGGACAATAAACTAAACAAATACTATCCTGCGTTTTATAACTAGCATACTGGTAGAACTCACCGTGTTTGTTTTGGAACCGAGCGGCATCGACCCGCAGGAGTGTGCGATCGGCGAACGAGATGGCAATATGTTTGACATTCTTGAGGAAGAATATCACGGCTGAGATGACATACTGTGTCACGGGCATCAGGGCAGCCACCTATTGAAAGCAACAGACATGGCGTTCAATAAAAAGGCAAAATCAAGAGACCTTGTGCGGCTACAGGTGGTCGGTTTAAAGCTAAGATGACACCCCGCGTAACCGGCATAAGCA